CCGGGGCTAAACCCAACCAGAGAGCTTGAAAGCAGCAAAGCCCTTATACGAAAAATAACCGCTCTCCTTCAGAAAAAAAGAACGGTGATACTACACTCCAGAGGCTTGCTGGAAAAGCTGGAACATACATCAGCAAAGGCCCCTTTCCTCTCAAGTTTGTCAGAAGATACTTCATCATTTATATCTCCATACAGCACATACTCTACTCCCTGTCTATAGTCAAGCTTTGTTTATCCATCCGTAAGAAGTCACGGCTGCTTCTTTAATGGCTGGGGTTTTCGGTTTCTTTTTTCCCTTAAAAAAAAAAAAAAAAAAAAAAAAACAAGCAATAGCTTAACCAAACAGTGTGTAACTGAGGCAATGATCCATCCGTGAGGAGTATGGATGGAAGTCATTAAAACTAGGATAAAAGCACTATGCAAGTTCAGTGAGCAGCCTAATCGCTTTTTACACTTGGCGCTTTTTGGCGGGGGGGTGTGTGCTTTTTACTACTATTTCGGTGCAGCTGTCAGAACCACAAAGGCTTTGCATGATTAGGGAGACTGACATACCAACCAACTAGCTTGCTTAAAAATGTGATTCTCCACTGGAACAAATGGAGCATTGATAACAAAGGCAAGAGATGAGAGTGTGTCGTTGAATAATGAATAGGAGGAGTTGATGAGCACGTGACGGGGGACAGTGATATGGATAGTCTGGGAGAAGGTGCCTTATTTTTAAGATACATGGGTTGGAAGTGCGATTGTCCTGGGTCGTGCACGTATTAGAAATCTAATAATCCAAAGCAGCTATTTCCTATCAAATAGTGAGGCCATGTTTTTTTCTTTTGTACAGCCCATATAGGAACTGATGGAATGAACAAAGGAATGAGATCTTTATGATCCCGGGCAGATGTTTTAAGGATCTCTCATTTAGCAAACTGAAGAAGAATGCATAAGCTGCACATTAAAAAGCAATCAGCCAATTTGATTGTGTGTACTGTGTTTTTGCGGTGAGGGTGTTGGCAATGAGGGAGACAATGTCAGAGTGGCAATTAATCCCTAAAAGAATGTGAGCTTCACTTTAGCCCAGGTTGCTGAGCAGCCGCTTGGATTCGGGTCTCTTTGTTAAACCAGGAGGACTGTGCTACAAAGTCCTGGTGTGCTGCTTTCATCTTTTATTCACTGGCTAGTAGGCCCCGGGGAGTGAGATGTAAAAGAATCCTTCAGAAAACCTTCCTATCTAACGAACCCTTCCTTGCAAATATCTTTGCTCTTACCACTCCTTTGAAAGTATAGATCTTGCATCTTATAGAGATAAACACTACAGACCTAAACAACAAGTTGTGCCTCCCAAATGTTCTCCAAGGACACAAGGCTATTTCTGCAGTTACTGCACACATGAAGCAGCTGCTGCTTGGTATATGTGAGCGAAATCTTGAGTTTTGAAGCAGGTTGTCAGCCCACAATGGGAGTCAGGCTACGTTGCTACGTGTGCTGGCATAAAACTTGGCGGTGTGTAAAGCAAGGGCTTTCTTCCATGAACTGCATCATGCTTTTTAGCTTCAGAATAAACGGAGAGGTTGCTTTTTTTGCTTCCTGCTGAGGAATGGTTTGTACCCAATTCTTTGGTTTGTTTCTTGTCCCCAGACTGGCATTATTTTTTCATGATAGATGATAGTTCGAGAAGCATGCTCTGAAAGATAACAAGAGAAAGAGAGAATGAGACTGAATGGTCTTAAAGAAGACAGAGGTTTGGTTTTTTTAAACCAACGTTACTAACCCAGGTTCCCTCAAAATATGGTTGGAATTTTAAAAAAATCTGTTTGTTTTAATACATTTACATTATACTGCCTTTTGCAATTGTAACAAGAAAGTCCCTATTGTATTTATACATAAAAGACCAAGTTAATCACTGCTGTAACTCTACTGAAGGGCCCAATCCTGCAGTCCTGATGCTGGAAACATACAAGCAAATGAATGTACAACTTTTTTGTAGGTTTGCTAGACATGCCTGGATAAAGCTACACTCAGCAGAGCTCCAGTTTCTAAAAATCAGCCTGGTCTGTATTAATATACACAGTCCTCAGACAGGAGAGCCCTGAGTGCCAATTTCTTATCAGCCCACAAGTTTGTCATTTTGAGCCTGCATGGTCTGTTAGCCTGCTGGATGGCTAGTTTAATTGATCAAGTAAACTGTACAGGCCCTTGGTACTTCACCTGTCTTAATCACAAACTACATTGGAGCACTCCTGGGCAGAGTTCAGTTTGCAGCATATAAATAATCCAGAGCATGCAGGAATTAAGACAGTCACATTGAAACAAACTGCATGAAAAATAATAGCAAGAGCTGATGGAGGAACACAACCATAAAAAATTAACGTTTCAAGCTTTTCCCACATCTGAGTAGAACAGAGCAACTTTGCTCATTTCTCATCCCAATGCTGTGTCTTGAGGGGGCTTAGCTGGCATATTCATGCTGTTCTGAGTATCAAACAGACCCATAACATAATTTTAATATACAGTCGTTTCCATTGGGTGGGTGACCATTTGTGTGTAAGAGTCCAAGCGGAATAGCAGGCTCTGCAGCTGTCTGAATTTTCTCCAGTCACTACTAGCCATTTGCCCAGTGGGGAAATAACCCAAAGCTAAATGGAGACGTAAGCAGCGGGGGGACAAGTCCCACTGACTTCAGTAGGGCCAGGATTTCACGCACTGATACTTTCTCCCTGGCAAACGAAAATCAGAAATCCAATTTGGGCCTGACCGTATGAGGTTCTGAGCACATGCAACTCCCATTATCTTCACTGAGGATTGAGGACACTCAGGTCTGGTCTAAACTACAGCGTTAGGCAGCTTACGTCAACCGGATTATGTCAGTGTATATACTACAGCCTTGCTCCTGCCAATGTAAGTGGCCTACTATACCAACATCATAACTCCACTTCCACAAGAGGTGTAGGGCTTATGTCAGTGTAGTTAGGGCGGCACAGTGTCCCTGTAAGACACTGCGTTACTTACATCTATTAGCGGTCATTCTTGTCAGTTTCCAAATTTCCAGTCTCTGCTTCAAGCTGGTCTGCTGCCCAGGCTCCCTGTAGGGAGCTCTGCTTCCCCCTGGGATCCTGACTCCCTGCTCCGAGCCAGCCTCCCCACTCCAATCTGCACTGCCGCCCAGGCTCCCAGCTCCCCGTTGGGAGCACAGCAGCTGACCAGATTCCAGGCACGGATCTCCCCCCTAGAA